AAGAAATTCCACAGCATTTACAATGTTTGTCATTACATTGAATATTTGTTCACTTCCAACAAATGTGTACACTTCTGATACATCTTCGCCAGCCAAGGTTCGTTTATTCAGTCATCGCTTCAATTGTACATCAAACACTGAGCATAATTATCTAGAATGGAAGCAAAAAAATAAGTAAATCGTAATGATTAGAACACTGTAAACAGCTATAGTAAACAATGCAAATTTTAAATTGTATAACGGTAACCGGCCCACGGCATCGACGCAGAAAATTGGAGCAAAAAAATATTTCCTGATCAATTGCGATGTGTTCCAAATAAAAAAATATTTTATTCCAGTCCAAATCAGCTCAATTACTTTAATAAAGAGTTATTGTATAATGTACAAAATGTTGATACATTTTGATGAATATTTACAGCTACGGCTTCAATACCGTAGACGGTTTTGACCCGATCGTCAACAAAACATCACCCGTCTCCAGGGCAAGCGACTGGAAAAAGACACTGGTGTTCGGTCGAACCGGTGGAAACAAAATCGTCACTCCCAGAATAACTACGCAAAATAACGATCTAAACTCGAACCATTCGAGCCACAATATAAACATAAAAAAATGACTTTCGTTGCATTTGACAAAGATAAACTTACCGAAAAGCCGTGTTCTTCTCGGTCGCTAACGTCGGTATAATCCGCCATTTTATTTGAGTGTGTTTGCCACCTGACTCTGCCCCTGACGTCATCATGTGCGCTATAGAAGAAGGTTTGTGATTCGTTGACTAAAATCGTCGACAGTGGGTCTCGTTGAAATCTCGTTACATAGGAATCGGCTCAGATGTATGTAGGGCGGAATTTTAAAAAAATCACAAAATCAAAATCAAAGTAAAATAATAAAATAAAAAGGCATTAATAACAAAAGTAATAAAACATAAAATTAAAATAAGTTTATAGCCAAAATAATTAAAGCCCGTACACTACATCAGATTTTAATCAGATTGGGTTAATGTTAACTCACAATCACCGTGCATGTACTGTAAAGACATTGCAACTCAAACAGCACTTCGCAGCAAATGACACCAACACATGGATAAACAGATAAGACATGCACTACAATGGTACAGGAGACGAAGACTGCCAAGCAACAATACTCGGCCAGGGTTGCAATACTGAGTTAAATGGGTGCCGAAAACAAAAGATGTGGTAACAGCTGAAGCATGTAAACAACGTCAGAATTGTTCGGTGTACTTAATTAATTTGCAATAGGAAAAAAAAGTTTGCCAGCAACGACATAACACATAAAAGACACATAAACATAACAGCGAATACAGTAGTATAGGAGTCTCATCCTGCCGATGCCCCAAACATTGGCTGGTTCCCGCCTCAAGTGTCATGGCGAATCCTTGTGGGGTACCAAGCCACAAGAGGCCGGTAAGTAGTAACGGTTCCGGCATTCTGATTGGTACATTACTTTCTCGTTCCTTGTTATAATTCCCTTGGTCAGCGCTTACGTCCGTGACCCTAGAGCAGGGGTTTCCTTTCACTCTCGAAAGTTGAGCGACTATAAAACTGTTTCTTTTGTTATAAATTTGCACAGAAAAAGCGAGAAATGTATGGGCATGGCGTAATGAAGACTTGTTCACAGAAAACGAATATTAGAATGTTTTCAAATTACGTCCCTTATTCACGTGACTTTGGGCCGTAATCCCGGCCCAGTGGAACAATAGGGCGATTACTAGTCACCTGCGTTCTACTTGCCATTCGCAAGGAACGCCGGGAACCAGCGAGCCCTGTGCCGCCGCCACTGTGACAGATGGTATAATATTAGATTATACACGGCTGCGTTCTATGGAGAAAGAATAGACTGATTTCGCTGGGTAGATTTGCCAGGTGCTGGCTACTTTTAGTTTACTCCCTACGGAAATTCATAACCTGGTAGATTAGGATTATTGGCCAAAAAACCCACATTTGTCTGGTGGTGTAGACGATATCTGAATATTACAAACATAAACTAGATAAAATGACACAATTTAAATGATTGGTCTTATTTTCATCTCTACATGTTTGAGCGAATAATTATAACCCCTCCACGGATTCCAAACAACGCCTGTTGCATACTGGTCAGTTTGTCCACCATGATACAGACCATTAAGGTTGGAACTGTGACATGCTCCATACCACCAAGCGCCTTTGTAAATCACAGCACAATTTCCAGCAGTTGCTACATCATTGTCCCGGTCTCTAGTTGAGAAATATAACCCAGCATGTTCAGAGACGGAATCACCTAAAAGTAAACAAAATTAATAATATGATGCAATTACTTTTCTTACACACACACACACTTTGATCAATGCAATACTGGTATTTGGAACAATGACAAGAAAATGGAACAGTATTTGAGGAGTAAAATAAATCTCGTGGCATTCTAACTATCAACGAGATCTTAGAGGCCAAATTGTGTCAGAGGTCTTTTCCTGAAAATTTGTAGTGACTTAGTTCAAAATTCGGGAACAGAGTACCACGTATACTAGAAAACAACACATAATCTTTTTTGTTGTAAAAAATGAAAAAATGATTCAGTAGTCATGTAGCCTAACGAAAAATCATCTTTTTATCTGCAGTAGTGGGAAAATATATTTGCACCGATTTCATAGAAAACTATGACAACAATAGTCATCGAGACGTGAATGTAAATAGTTGGTTTTCCACTCATTAGAAACAAGTAAACCAAGCAATAAAATCGCTTTTTAGTAAAGCATCATATGGGTTGGGATTAAAGTCAGATTTCATTGGCCTTTTCTTCTGTCTTTTTATTTGAATTGGCGGCAATTAATTACAATTTAACATTTCGTTTTCAAAATGTATATGTAATTGGATATCGGAGACCACCTACAAAGGATGACAGGTCGTGATTTATAAAGAACTATTTTGTTTGATAAATACTTTTAAAATTTTGAATAGAATTTAAAGATTGAGGAGGCTTACATATTAAAGTAACACCGCCTTATTGGCAAGTAGCTCAGACAGACTTAGTTGAGGCAACTAAGTAATAAATAATATGCATATATATTTGTCTATAAAAGTAGCAGTCAAGTACAAAAGGTTCAAAAAGTTTGAATAAACATTTTGCAAAAAATATACAAAGAACTTTCTATTAACAATTAATTAAGGAAATTAATTAAAATAAACAAATTGGTTCAGCTATGAAATTAGACAAACATCTATAAGTTCACTTTGTTCACTAGTTTCAATCCACTTGAACGAACTGTTAGAATATAAACAAACCATGCTGAAATTAGTTAATTGGTAATCCAATCACAACGCACACAGTGAACACGTGAACATGTTTCCGCTATATTACTATTAGATAATGTAAACATGATGACGTGGCTCAGAACTTCAATTTCTAAATAATTCTGTGCACGACTTTATGTACCACTGCATTGTACCTAGCTTTGTAATAACTATCCCGAATAATATCATCAACATATACGTCGTTTTTGAGCCTGCTGTAATCACAAGCTAAATAATAATAAAGTATTGCGGTACTGTGAGCTATTGTCACTAACATTTTAACATCTTTGATAATTTTAGTTAACGAACAACTGAACAGTTATTCTAAGTAATGAATACCATTCATAGCCATACCAAAATGAACGTTACGTATAGTACCTAAACATACAGTTTCTCTTAGCAACCGTATTTAACATCCAAAGTGGATTAATATTGCGAGGATTACTTATTGGAGCATACACTAATCAGACCTAACGTGTTGATTGGTCTTATTAGATTTTTTTGATTTTACCATCATCAATCTTTAAATTAAGTGTGTAGTTATGTTGAATAGTATTGTAACTGTAGTGAACGTCCTATGCCAACGTAGAAATGTGAATACTCAATGAAATAATAGGAAGTATATGACAATAAGAACTACAACAATATTGCATCAAGTTTCCCTTTTTTTCTTGACCACGAATCGAACTTACAGCTCACCGTACAATACGCACACGTACACGTATACATAGGTTTCAGTGTCACGTACAGGATTGTGGACAACCTAGTTTGTATCTAGTCGTGGAACTATTTGACTGAAGTATTACATATCCCGACCAATTTGTGATTGCTTGCTAATGTTTGACCATGTGTATTGAAGTTTGTTGACCCAATGGGGTACACTGTTACCACGCTTGACAAAAAGCTGTAAATTGCGTTGAATTATCTTTTAAGCCGCAAATTAAAAAAAGTCTTGAAAGTAATCGCCATTTGAATTGAAATGGCTCACGCATGTTTTTTTTTATTTCTCATCAAGTCCACCTTTTTGTTGTGTTTATCCTAGTTCATAAATTAAAAGAAAGAAAATATTCATGACAAACTAAATATGTTACTGAACTTGTGTTTTTATTTAAATTACTGGCTGTGAACCTACACTTAAAACATGTCCAATTCGAGCAACCGTGTCCAGTTATGTGGCACGTCAATTAATGTTGAGACAAACTTGGTACTTTATACTGTACGTATACATTGTTGTTGCAATAAAAAAAACGCATAGTTACCACTCGTAAATTGTTGAAGTGCATTTCCTTAGTGACGCACTCATAAACATTTTGAAGTGGGTTTTCTTATTGATACAGTTGTAAACATGTTTAAGTGTGTTACCGTTTTGATGCATCGTAAACATTTAAGTGTATTTTCTTATTGACGGAACAGTACAGGGGCATCGCTTCTCATCATTTTATACATATACATTTTTGAAATTAAATAAAAAAATGATAATTAGAAGTTAGTAAATGACTGAATAATAAGAAAACTAGTACCCGTATCTTGGCTGGGGATGTGTTATCTTGGAGCAAAATAAATATACACGTGACTTATATTCCCGCATAAGAGTACATCACAATAAGAGCAATAATGTAGTATATAATCTGTAGAAAATCACGTACTGTACAGTTCATCAGAAATTGTATTCAACAGAACAGAACTAATTTTATATAATACATTTGAACGTTGCACAATTTCACAAGTACTGATTGCACTAAACTCAATGCTTATCTGAGCATGCTCAGACATTTACGGGGTTGTACACGACCAACCACAAACATTATAAACGGGTAACCACGCTATCCCCTCCCCTCGGGTTGTAAGTATAACAGTGGAACGCCAGCTATGACCATTTATGCCTTGATATAACACTTTGACAGTAAAATGGGGACACCTGGAGAAAAACTCATACCAACTACCTTGCTAATTGAATGTTTAGATATATTCTAGCCATGTATAATAACAACACTGATTAATGTCACCTTTCACTTTCCTTCAATATTTAAGTCAGCTCTCGTGAGATTACTTATAAAAAAATCAACACTAAGCTACTGTGGCCCATATATACAATTGCTCCGCTACTTGAAAATCGCTCCGCTACATGAAAATCGTTCCTCTACTTAAACAATAGAAATCGGTCGGTTACTTGAAAATCGGTCTGCTACTTGAAACAAAAATCGGTCGGCTACTTGAAAATTACGCCGCTATCTGGAAAATCGCATCGCATGATACACTTTTAAAACTACATAACGGTAGTGTGTAAGACTCATATGTATATTTATTAAAAGCTTGCTAAACGTACAATTTACGAGGATTTGAAATTTAAATCCAGAGCAATGGCTTAACATAAACAGGGAGCTATTTAACTTAACATAATGTTAAGAAGAAATACCTAGGCATGATAATTTATTAGTCATTTTAATATAATGAATAAAAATGTTTATTCTTTGCTGTAAATCAATAAAATGATGCTATAAATCTTTAAAATACAGAGAATGAAAGAGACAGACGACTTAGATGACTTAGGCAACAATATCTGTCGTTTTAATAAATTAGTTTGCTATTATTTAGTATGCCGATGCATTTGTATTGATTATAATATACTTGGTGACTTCCCTTCATAAGTTTATATTTGTACTTACCTGCAGTACCACTGTATGCTCCCACGGTCAGTCTATATTTGGTGAATTCGTCGCTAATGGCAAAGTTGTCGTATTTAGCGTATCTAGTCTCTCCTTCAAAGTCTTCTAAATCAAATCTCAGTTCGTATTGAGGTCCTTGATTTGTCAGTCTGTAAATCTTATCATTACCTAACCAGTGCTCCGATCCAGGAATTCCAAAGCCATCTTTATAATCTTGCCAATCTTGATAGAAATCTAGTCTACAATTCTCTCTTCTTTGAATTACCTGTAACCAATTGAATATTTTCAGAATCTGTGTTTAAATCAAATAAATGCACATCCATGCACATACTGGTAACTACACACGAGTCTACTCATCGTGAAATACACATAGGTGATAAATTATTCCGATCCAGACACGCAGCATGAAAAATACTTGTCATTTGCCTTACTGTCCATCCTCCGCCATCTGTATCCATATCACAGTAAACTCTAAATCTAACTCCATCATCGTCAGGGCGCAAACTGTATACACCACTTAAACTGTAACCATTTTGCTGAATATCATAGAAGTCTTTTGGGTTGCCATTAACTGGAATATCAGTATTAAACTTTTTCAAATTAGTAGGGTAAAACTAACCTGTCTCACGACGGTCTAAGCCAGCTCACGTTCCCTGTTGGTGGGTGAACAATCCAACTATATACTATCAAATTAGCATTTGATCAACTTAAAACAAGGAAACGCTATTAATTAAAACACTACATGTAATACAAATCTCTGTTCCCACGAGCATTTATTGACCGACTGTCTCCGTGCTGGGAATTCCCAGGACAATACCTTGTATCCATTTATTTTACTGTGGCTGACTTGTGACTTTTATATATATGCTGAAAACACCAACATTCTTAGGCTCGAACTCGCAACTCTAAAGCATGTCTTTGATCTACCACGATTTCAATGTCAATGGTTAGCTTTCGAGCCTTGTTATGTTCAAAATGTGAGTGTAAATATTCATAAGTGTATTATGCAATGTAACGTCGTCAGAATCAGTTGAACATGATTTACCAGTACAAGTACAATTGCACCCACTTGACCTATACTGAGTACACATATTAAAATTGCCAGAATAGTACCATACGACAAGGAATGTCTTTAAGTTGAAACAGACGTTCACGCTCAAGAAACGTTTCGACTTATATCATACAACATAGACATACTACTAAGTTTAGATGAGCATAATTGAGTATATCATTATGTACACTACTGAAAGGTGAATATACTGGTAAAGTTTCGACCGAGAGTTGTAAATAGTGTACGTGTAAGACCCTTGGTTTGCTGATTATAGATGTTTGATTATCTGTAATTAGCGAAACGAACCATTAACTGATTAAATATTGTTATTTTCGGCAAATTTCTTATGTCGTTATATACGACTGAAAGGGGGATATACTGATCAAGTTTGTTCGACAGCTGTGAATATTGTACGTGTAAGACCCATGTTTCGCTGATTATAGATGTTTTAATTATCTGTAATTAGTGAAACGAACCATATACGTATTAAATATTGCTATTTTCGGCAAATATTTTTTTAAATATTGTGCATATAAAACCCATTACAGTTTAATTTTCATTATGTGTGTTATCCCGTTTCGTTTCGTTTCGTTTGTTTGATAAGCCTTTCCTGCTGACCACTTATCCAACCTCTAAAGCAACAAACATTATGTTGACGTTAATGGTAGATATAATCATCATTGTTAACGACGATAAGATTATTTTCAGGCCCCTTTATACTTTTTTCGTTTTCCGTTATGAGGGGTTTTTAATTCCTGGTGATGCGTTCTCAGGATTCTTCAATTCATGGTGATTTGTTCTCAGCTAATTTCTCGTTCTACGTTATAGGGTGTAATGAATTCCCGGTGATACGTTTTCGTAACTTTTAATGTCGCGTTATGCGGTCTTTGATTTTATTTCCAGTTGTCTGTATTGTACGATGAATTGCGCCACCACCAATAGTTTAAAATCGGTACACCTGAGTGTTTTTTATACACTCGTGTACTTGTAGTATGAAAGAGTTCTTCCCATTGGTCAATTCTTTGAAGTGTATGGTGATCTTTTACCAATCAAATCTACTGTTTTATAATGATGATTACAGCAAGTCTCCGAAGTACTGGAGCAGCCAATTTGAAAATTCGCTAGCGAATTGGCTAACTGCTTGGGTTTTGACTATACAGTTGGCTTTAGAATTTCCCTGGCGTCGTCTTGTTATTATATGAGTGGTAGGCAAATGTACCGGCGACTGACTAACTATTCCGACCCTTTTTTAGGTCATTTTTTTTATTATCCAAGAAACGTTCCGAGCGTCTGTGGTTTGTTGGTGTGTCTAGGAAACACTTGAGGTTTCATGTACGTCTTTTAATGCTAACACGCTTTATTGAATGATGTTTTCTTCTAAATTGTCCTATTGTTTATTGATTCCTTATTACGTCATAGTTTTCAAATGGAATATTAAAGAGTTCACCACTTTTAATAATGTATAGTAGATAAGGAAAAAAATGTCAAAGCGTTTTTCTTCTGTTTTACGGTAACGTATATTGTTAAAATTAATTTTGAATTATTCCTTTGAGAACAATTTTTATTGTGCAAATTATTTCCATACTTATGAACCCTCTTCCCCTCATATTTACTGATTTCTATTCGTTTCTAGATCACGAGTTAAAATCATTATTTGGCTATATATGCAATGTACAAACCTGATTAGTTTTAGGTTAAAATCTGTTGATATTAATTCCCTGATTAGCATAATATAGTATATTTTTTGGGTTCTAATCTCATTTAAATGACACTTGTTACATGGATGGTCTGCTACATTCACAGACCTTATTAGTTTTACACTAAAATCTGTTCATATTAATAATCTGATTTGCATAATTAGTTTTAAGCTTTTCCATCAATATCTCAAGTACAAGTAAATTTGCATTAATTTGTAATGTGTCTCCATTACTAAGAACACGAGAGTTCTTTCTAAGCTTTCTTTGATATTATATTTATTTGACAAATCTTTTCGTCATCTTTACTTAATTTAGTTGTTTATTTTGTATCAGTATGCCAGATCATTTTGGAACACAATAATTTTATTGAAGAAAATTTGAAAAGATCATGTAATTGGTCAGTCTATTACTTCACCAATCCCTCATCGTTTTATCCACCAGCCACAAACCAAGTTTCATTTTGAGACATTCCAAAGCTCCAACCATTACCAGTCGTACGCATGAGAAAAGAGGACCAAGAGAAAATGAGAAATTGGGCTGTTGACAATAAGAAAGTTGTTAGACAAAGATCAATCCGACAAGAAAACACAAATTGTAAGGCAGGTACATTGCCACTGAATCTGTACGAGAAGGAGATACCAATTAGTGAAAAATTGCATAGAGAGAGAGACGTGATTTGTCAGATGGGTCAGATGTTGAGGAGGACACGGAGGAGATAGATAGTTTCCAACAGAAAGATCAGTTAAGAAATGTCTGTCTAACTACTTGGTGTGCTTTTATATTCAATTCCTGGTAATTGGAATTCCTGGTGATTGGTGATTACCCCCTTTAAATCTTGGTGATTGGTGATTGGGAGGAGGTATAAATGGGCCTGTAATTTGTCTATTGTTTGGGGAATATAAACACAAATCGGCTCATGATTCGGGTTGTCAAAATAATGGCTTCCTCGCGTGTCACTCCATGACCTAGTTTCAACCACAGCCATGTT